ACGGTCAATGTATTTCAAGTGAAAGAACTATACGGTCACTAGACTTCAGAATATGCTCATTACGGTCACTGTATACATTCTCATGGTGATCATACGGTATCTAGCTCACGATACGTCTCCATATTTTGTTGATGACGGATACGTCTCCAACGTTTCTATAATTTTTGATTGTTCCATGCTATTATATTACCCGTTTTGGATGTTTACGGGCTTTACTTTACACTTTTATATCATTTTTGGGACTAACCTACTAACCGGAGGCCCAGCCCAAATTGTTGTTTTTTTGCCTACTTCAGTGTTTCGAAGAAAAGGAATATCAAACGGAGTCCAAACAGAATGAAACCTTCGGGAGCGATCTTTTCAGAACAAACGCAGTCTAGGAGACTTGGAGTGGACGTCAAGCAGCAAACGAGGTGGCCACGAGGGTGCCCGGCGCGCTTCGTGGGCCCCTTGTGGCTCAACCGACCTACCTCCTTTGCCTATATATACTCCCGTACCCTGAAAACATCCAAGAGCACCACGAAAAACTATTTCCACTGCCGCAACCTTCTGTATCCGCGAGATCCCATCTTGGAGCCTTCGTCGGCACTCCGCCGGAGGGGGAATCGACCATGGAGGGCCTCTACATCATCTCCTAGGCCTCTCCGATGAGTTGTGAGTAGTTTACCATAGACCTCCGGGTCCATAGTTATTAGCTAGATGGCTTCTTCTCACTCTTTGAATCTCAATACAAAGTTCTCCTCGATCTTCTTGGAGATCTATTCGATGTAACTCTTTTTGTGGTGTGTTTGTCGAGATCCGATGAATTGTGGGTTTATGATCAAGTTTATCTATGAGAAATATTTGAATCTGCTCTGAATTCTGTTATGTGTGATTAGTTATCTTTGCAAGTCTCTTCAAATTATCAGTTTGGTTTTGCCTACTAGACTGATCTTTCTTGTAATGGCAGAAGTGCTTAGCTTTGGGTTCAATCTTGCGGTGTCCTTTCCAAGTGACAGTAGGGACAGCAAGGCACATATTGTAATGTTGCCATAGAGGATAAAAAGATGGGGTTTATATCATATTGCTTGAGTTTATCCCTCTACATCATGTCATCTTTCTTAATGAGTCACTCTGTTCTTATGAACTTAATAATCTAGATGCAGGCAGGAGTCGGTCAATGTTTGGAGTAATAGTAGTAGATGCAGAATCGTTTCGATCTACTTGTTGCGGACGTGATGCCTATATACATGATCATGCCTAGATATTCTCATAACTATGCACTTCTCTATCAATTGCTCGACGGTAATGTGTTCACCCACCGTAATACTTATGCTATCTGGAGAGAAGCCACTAGTGAAACCTATGGCCCCCGGGTCTATATTTTATCATATAAGTTTCCGATCTACTTTTATTTGCATCTTTTACTTTCCAATCTATATCATAAAAATACCAAAAATATTTATCTTATCTTATTATCTCTATTAGATGTCACTTTTGCAAGTTACCGTGAAGGGATTGACAACCCGTTTATGGCGTTGGTTGTGAGGTTCTTGTTTGTTTGTGTAGGTACGAGGGACTTTTGAGAAGCCTCCTACTGGATTGATACCTTGGTTCTCAAAAACTGAGGGAAATACTTACGCTACTTTGCTGCATCACCCTTTCCTCTTCAAGGGAAAGCCATCGCAGTGCTCAAGAGGTAGCAAGAAGGATTTCTGGCACCATTGCCGGGGAGGTCTTCGCTCAAGTCAAGACAGACCAAGTACCCATCACAAACTCCATCCCTCGCATTACATTATTTGCCATTTGCCTCTCGTTTTCCTCTCCCTCACTTCACCCTTGCCGTTTTATTTGCCCTTTTCTGTTCGTCTTTTCGTTTGCTTTGATGTCTTACTTGGCTGGTTTGCTTATTTGGAATAGTTGTTTATTTATTGCTAAACAGAGAAGCTAAGATCTATCGATCCTCATCCACTTGCTAATCTTTTTAAGAGATCCAATTACGATCATTGTATTTGAAACGAAAGAACGATATGGTCACTGGACTTCAGAATAAGCTCATCACGGTCACGACATACATTTTGTGGTGCTAACCAACCTGTGGTTGTATGGTTAGGAGGACAGTGGTTTCCCGAGCTCACCGGGGTTAATGTCCTAGTGCTCGCATTTATCCTGGGTTAATTTGAGTGTTTTCCAGCGATGTGCGTTCAGTGGGAGGAGACGTTCCACTATACTACGAGGCACCTATGGTGATTTCATAGAATCTCAAGATCAAATGCTAGCTCACCCTCTCAAAGGTGATCATAGGGGTAGGGTTTGTGTGTGTGCGCTAATAGTGGTGAGTGCTTGCGTGTATATATGAGCGCTTGCGTCTTTACTGTGTTAAAAAAATACATGTCGTGATTATACGGTCACTGGCTCACACGTACAACTCCGTATTTTGTTGATGACACAATTGATTGACCAGTCAAACGTTCCGCATGACACAACTAGTGTTGCACCATCGGGGCGTGTAACCATAGGGCCCACCTGTCAGTGTGTATATGAAAGAAAGAAATGGTAGTTTGAGTCTATATTGTGTTAATAAAATACATTTTAGGGTGATCATACAGTCACTGGCACACCATACAACTATGTAATTTGTTGATGACACGGTCAATTGACCAGTCAAACGGTCCACATTCAGCAGCGCACATTACCATAGGGCCCACCCGTCAGCGCGTATATGAAGGACATAAATGGTAATAAATTAGAGGTCGTTGGGGATTCTAAGTCGTGAGACCTCTGGTTGGCAGTCGCCAGTAGTGGGGGTGCGGTGATTGGGCGGTGGCGTGGGGATCGCCGGAGAAAAAGCTCGGCGTGGGGGGGGGGCTAGAGGGATGGCGGGGGCAGCGGCGGACCGGCGGTGGGGAGTGGTTTTGGGGCGGGCGGGGCTGCATGGCAGAACGGGCCAGCCACGGGTGGCGGGGGCCGGCGGTTCGGCCGGTGGTGGCTGGCGGCTCAGGAGGGTGGAGGTTGAAGATAAACTGGCTGGCCCTTGATTTTGTATCCAACGGCTGGAAAATCTACTGACCAAAGATGAAAAAGTCAGTCGACTGACGTGTAGCCTCAACCCACACGTACACATGAACGCATGCAACACTCGCACGAACACACGCACACATGCAGGCGTGCAACATGGACACGTACACATAATGAACACACGCACACATGCAGGCATGCAACACTGACACGTACACATGCACCCATGAACGCATGCACGTACGCACACATGCATGCAACACTGAAACGTACACATGCACGCACGCAACACTCGCATGCCTGCATGCACACAACACACGACGCAAGACACACGTTCAACCTATACATGCATGCACCCTTTGTTAAGGACATGGATTGTTACGGGTATTAATCAATCTTATATGTGATAAGCAGACCATTGATGTTTGCAGCGGTCTTTATGAATCACAACGTATCGAACGGGCTTTTAACGAATATATGAAAATTTTAAAATTCTCTTACATTATATAGTAGGCTTATCTAACTGAAATAGATGACATCACACTCAATGAACAATCATCTGTTTATGAAATGCCCGCTTCTGACTGCCCTGGCCCACCAAAAGTTCCTCTGTCGTGCGCTGCCTGCATTGGGTCACTGACATGCAGGCCATGTACCCAAATATCCGACACGTCAGTGGAAGAACGGCATGGTGTCATACGTCAGAGTCAAGGGCGCCATTCGCTGCACGCCCGGCTGAACATGCCTCCTTGCTGCATTCAAACGCCACCATGAAACCTGTGTGGAAGCCGAGAAACCCACTCTGGACACACGTCCATTCATGACCGAGACCGCATTAAATGCAACACCGGCCGAGCTCCTCCCATCCGCCGTCTATTTAATCTCCTATTTAAATGAGCCACACGCGGGCCAAGAATCGCACACCTCCGTCACTCCGCTATCTCCTCATTCACCATTTTGTCCACTCTTACAATGGCTTACGAAGAGTAGTTATCCCGCATCCAAGTCGGTTGGGTGGCCCGCCGAGCCTGCAGAATACGAGCTATGCAGCTCACTGATCCACCTCCCTCCCATCACTCGACGGAGCCAGTTCCCGCCCCAAGCCGGCGCGCAGTTCAGCAACTCGCTGCTCCAGGCCAGCTCAACAAGGAGTGGCACACAGGCGTCGTCGCTTCCATCCATGCCGCCACCTCGTACCGTGCCTCCCGTATCTGCGACTGTGTCTCCCGTTTCTGTGGCCGAGATTCCATGCCGGCGGCCGCACCATGCAAGCTGAGACAGAAGTCGAATGCACGGAGAGCGACAAGTCGGTGGCAAGCGCCTCCGTGTCTGCCTCCATCACCGAGGAGAAGAGTGTGCTGTCCCAAAGATAAGGGAGGTCTTGGAGTGAACAACACTAAAGTTCATAATCAAACACTCCTCCTAAAATTCTTGGATAAATTTTACAATCATGTAGATCTGCAATGGGTTAAATTGCTTTGGGAGTCATACTATACTGGTATTGTCCCTCATGATGTTCCAAAGTCTGGTTCTTTTTGGTGGATGCCTATGGTTAAACTTATGCCTATCTACAGAGGAGTTGCCAAATGTGAGGTACAGAATGGCTTACATGTATCCATGTGGCATGATAATTGGAATCGTCTAGTCCTCTCTAAAAATTTCGCCTGCTTGTATTGATATACCAAGACAGAAGATATCTCAGTTTACACGTACTATGAGACAACTAATTTGAGTCTGATATTTCATCTACCTCTTTCTCCCAAGCCCTCTATTAGTTACACACCATAGACAGTCTAAAACCGCCACAAATTCTTGAGTCTGCAAGTACTGATCAATGGACATACCCATGGGGGCCTGTTTATTTGGCAAAAAAATTCTATAGTCACTGTCATAGACTAATCACCTGTCCAGAGCCTTTCAAATGGATTTGGAAATCAAAGCTCCAAATGAAACTGAAGGTGTTCATGTGGTTTCTTTTGGCTGATAGACTGAACACAAGGAACATGCCGAAAAGAAGACATTTTCATGTTGGAGATATTGAAACATGCGTCCGATGCACTGCTCACGAGGAAGAGACCATTGATCACTTGATATTTAATTGTCCTTTCAGCCAAACTTGTTGGTCAAAGATTGGTATCTCATACAACTCTGGCATCTCACGAATTGAGGCCACAATCAGGGCAAAGGAAATTTATTCTGGTAGACTTTTCTTTGAAATCTTCGCCATTACTGCTTGGAATATTTGGAAGGAGAGAAATAACTTCATCTTCAATCAGATCAGTCCTTCATATAGAGCTTGGCTTGAGAAAACTAAGGCCGATCTTACCTGGCTTAGATATAGAGTGTCCTCTGATCTCAGTGAGTATAGCACTTCTTTTGTAAATTCACTTTAGACTCTGCTTGTTTGTTTACCTTTTGGGGGACTTTCCTCCTAGCCATGTAAATAATTATTATATATTAATATAGCATAGTAGGAGCCTCTCCTACTATTTCTCAGTAAAAACAAATCATCAAGGAGAAGTAGAACACGGGAGTCCGCCGCCGCTTGGGTCCCATGAGGGCCACCGTGGAGGCGATGTTGGCATACACAGCAGGTGTCTTGCTGGATCCTTTTGTTGCGAGGACCTTTGTCAACCACGCATGGGCTCCACAGAAGCGGAGAAGCCCCCTTCCACTATCATCTTCGGCATCAGCCAACGATATCAGTTGGGCATTGGGGAAGCAAGCCGTCCTTTGCGCTGAAGCATATACCGCCGGGGCTCCCGGCAGTACGGTGATCGTGCTATCGGACATGAGGAACACAAATGGATCGGCGGGCGACCATTTAGGCCAGGTATTATTATACCTGTGTTGTCGAGAACTAGCACCGTTTAGTTGATTTGAATGTAACGAAATATGTCATATTTGTATGAAAATCCGGTATTTTATATGAATTTCATCATTGTTTATATGAAATATCGCCGTGTTTGCATGAATTTTTCCGGTTGGTTGAGTTGGTGTCAGAATGTGTGCGGCTACAGTTGGATGGCGTAATTTGCGGGTCGCCGGTCGGTCTGCGGCCCGCTCGGCCGGCGTGGATGGACAAAAAAGCACAACTCGTGTGAGCTCGTCTCCAACATGCGCGCTAGAGGATGCATGAGCACCCGAGGCATTCCTCGTTCATCAGTGGCAAAGGGACCGGTGGACAAAATGGTTGCCAATATTTTGGCTACCCCGGGCAAGATCCAAATAGCCCTTCCTACCAGATTCAAATCCCTCGTTTGCCATGAAATTTTTCCATGTGTTGTTTTCATGGACTAGCAAGATGCCCGTGCATTGCATGAAACATCAAGATGCATTTTTTTTACAAAACACCTATTGTGATTGACCCATGCAGGAGTAATCCCATGTGTAACAACTAATGATATCTCGAGAATTTTATCGAAAAAATGGTATCTCGAGAATTTCATCGAAAAATGATATCTCGAGAAACAGGGGAGATAAGGCGAGGAGGAGTGGGGCGTGGTGGTGACTGGTGGTCGGACTGGGCGGAGGCATAGGGATGGACGGCACATTATGTCTAGGTTCGTATCTCTCTCACACACACCCATGTAGGTGGGGTACGTGCACGAAGAGAAGAGGTGCACGCACGGCACACGTAGTCCCATCTCTTTCCCAACCACACCCGCATGGTTACACTGTGGAGCTCATTTCTATATGAAAAGGCAGCCCACATGGTAATTTGACATGTGTACTGGTTGTCCACTTCATGGAGGATTGTCTGCCACAGGTGAACAAACAAATTGCGACATGATGCGTTATGTTAAAAAAGAGGCAAACCATGTGGGGCCTATCTTAGAGGCAAGGCTCTATACACTCGAGATGATCTGTATGTATTACTTTTGATGTGTCCCGTCAACTCGCAAAACAAGGAGGAGCTTGCTCAGTACGCCGTCTCCCCCGCCCACGGTCGTGGTTGCTCGTAGGACGAGGTGAAGCTTGCTCGGAGTACGCCCACTGCCTCGCCCACGCACGCGGTGGCTCGCAGGACGAGGAGAAAATTTTACTACTCCCTCCGTTTACTCCTCATCCCTACCTTGGTTAGAGAGATTATCATATTGTTTGAAATATGTGTCTTTTATCGGTGAGTTTTCTCTTGACACTGCTTGCATCGGGTGATTTAACGCACCTTGAAATCCAAACATGTGATGGTACTACTATTACCAGTAGAATTGAGACTTACAAAACGGAAAAATGAATTTTCTGTAGATGAGCCCTATAGACCGGAAACGAGGGAGTAGTAAGTAGTACTACCTCCATAGTGGGTACGTACTCCGTAAAATTAGAATTTCCCAAAACTAAGTCACTCAACCTTTATTTGCTTGTTTCCCTTCCTGCCTCGTTGCCTCGAACAGACTATGCCGAACTCCCTTGCCTGCCGCGCGGGAAAAGACCCGCCCTCGCTTTTTTAGTCCGGGTTTGTATCGATAGATCGCACGAAGCAGCAAAAACCAAGCCGTGTCTTCTACTCCTCCGTCGACGCTCGCTTTCATGAATTGTGTACTTGCTCTCACCGGCATGTGGGACATATAGCAACCAGGTCGACATGTCATGCACCAAATAACACTGCAGAACAACAGGCGGGATGCACCCCAGTCGTACCGCCCAGTAGTAGTAATGAGCAATGAGACGTCAAATCACAATGCCGCACCTTCCCAGACGGACGAAGCAGCCATTATTTCACACTTCGCTTCGCCATCATCTCGCTCAAGAAAACCATGTAGTATTGCTTCTGCCTCAAGAGGGACACGCACATCGCCTTGGTACATCATGACACGTGGGACCGCATGACAGGCCATGCTCACCCACCCATCGATCGGTAAAATCACCTCATTTTTACTACTTCCTCCATATAGGTTTACAGGTCATGCACGTCGTTCTATGTTGAGAATTTAACTGGCTATATATGTGATGAAGAGTATATGTCTAGAAACTACATCCTCTTAAGAATCCAATTGTATACTTTTTGTGACATAGTAACTCATATTTAGTTAGTCAAATGGATGACCTAGAACTACGTGCACGCCCTATAAACCGAGACAGAGAGGGTAGTACAGTATGTATCTTTTTAGATCGATATAGTCGGGATTCACCAAGGAGCAAAACCAAGTGGTAGGCTGCTCCTATCGTGTTGGCATAGCAAGTCAAGCAGGCTCAGTCCGCACACGAAATGGTGACACACTTAACAGGACCCCTTTGGCCGACATGTGGCTCATCCACCGTCTTGTCCATGTGCGATGCACCAAATTACAGTTCGGATCAACGGTTGGACTTGGAGGCACCCCGGTGGTAGCGCCGCAGTAGTAGTAAATGTGCAATGACGGGTCAAATTACAAAGCCCCACATTTCCCGCATTAAGCTGGACGGACGAAGAAACCATCATTTCTCTCTAGGGCGCAAGAGCGTAAAGAAAAGAGAAACCCAATGACACGTGCGACAGCTACCTAGGGCTTCCTAGGGTAGGGGCCTCCACTACAAATCGTTTTTTTGAAAGCGCCTCCACTACAAATCCGCTTCTCCCTCGTCCTCTTGAAGAAAATTATGCGTGCGGCGGTAGGGTTTGTAGGAGTACTACGGCGTGCGGGGTCACGTCGTAGTAAACGGGAGAGGGATTGAGTTTGAGTCGACGCCTTAATATGTGTGGCCGCTTGGTTTGACGGAAATGAGACAACATTTTGGGATCGGGGACCAGTGGAGATATACATACAAAAAATTGTGGATGTAGGTTCGACCGAAAGGCAATGATGCATGGGCCCTGTATTTTGATGTACCCGCAGCCGCGTGAAATTTGATACTCTACTCAAAACTAGTAAGGTACACATGCATTGAACGCATGAGATTTGGAAACCAAATTATGGATAAATACACACTATAGCATGTAAAGCTTTGAGTCATATATGCATGATGTAGATGTTCGTTTAGTTCTTATAGTTCATCTCATTGAAAATCAATTAGTTTTATAAAAAGGTCAAGATTCATGGGATTGTGCATTCTTGTAACATCCCAAATTTTCAATTTGGAATGTTATACATTAGATCATCATTGCATATCATATTTTATTGAATTTTGGCCCGATCCTAGAAATTCTATGCAACTCAAGGACCCACGGAGAGAGTTGGAGATTTCATTATTTTGATATTTGAGTTTTCTCAAATTTTGAAAATAGGATCATTTGATTCTAATTATTTTATCTTCAATTATTTCTATTATCAAAATATGATAGAGGGAATAAAATGACCTTCCCAAAATAAAGAAATATTGATGATTTAATAATAAAATCAAACAAGATTTTATTTCGGAGTTTTATCGCTATTTTATTTGAATTAGGAAAAATGCGTCTTTTTCAAAATTGTATTTAGGCCCCAAATAAATGTTCATCTTGTATTTATTTTGGGATTTTTGGAGTCCGTTTAGTATTTCTTTTATTTGTTTTTATGCGCGAAATTATTAAAAAAACGAACCGACCTAGCCGGGTCGTGCCCGACTAGGACTTCGCCCAGCCGGCCTTTAAAGCCCGAGGCCCGAGCGGGCCCAAACCCTAGCCCCGCCCCAGCCAACCCTGCCTGCGCCGCCGCCAGCCGCCGCCGCCGCCGCTAGTCGCCGACGCCGCCGGATCCGCCGCCGCAACCGCGCCCCATGTTGCCAGCCGCCGCCGCCGACCCCGCCACCACCCACCGCCGCCGTCCCGCGGAGTTGCCGCCGCCCGTCCCGCCCCGCCGGAGCCACCCCGCCGGACCTCGCCAGGGGTAGTTTCCGTCGCTGAGAAAACCGTCCGGTTTTTTTAGGAAACCGGTTATTTTTTTAGATCGGTTTTATTTTTTTTTGCTTTAGTCTATTTAGCGGAAATTCATCCGTACATTCGTTTTAATGAATGGTTTTCATCATTTAGCTGCAGACAGCGAATGTTCGTTTGTTAGCCTGTTCGTCCGTTTTTCTTTTTCTCGGATTTTCCGCGATTATTTTCGATCGTGATTTCTCATCCAATTTTTGTTCTAGTAGAACTTGTCGCTCGTTTAGCGGAATCAGGCGATTCAAGCGCCTAGAGTTTCTTCTCAAAACCCTCTTTCCGTTTAACCAACTCAAACAAGTGTTTGCTACTGTAAAATTCGACTTTGTTTGGTTTGATTCTTTTTGCAAACCGGAGTTCTTAAGTTGAACTTTCTGGTTAGATCTCTTATTTGAGTTTTACCTATGCACTAGATGAGTGCTTATTGTATGCTTGTTTGTTTGCGATAGAGTACCCGGAGTGCGCCGCTTGCTACTTCGAATCTCTAGGTTTCACGGATCACCGGCAAGGCAAGTAACGCTTTGATCATACCTCTTTACTACCCAGTTTTATTGCATTAGATCAATC